AAGGTGCTTGTCACAATTTAATTCAAGAAATAAGGAAAAAAATGATTGTCTGTATAGGAGTTTGATAACTTGGTTGAAGTTGAAAAATTGTCACCATATATATCAAAAACATATGCACGAGAACCAAATACGTTTAAATTATTTTAAACGTATTTGACGAGAACCCATTTCAACTGGAGAAATGCTTTCAAGTTACTTTGCGACAGCGTCGTCAAAATAATCGATAACCGGATCACAACACCATTCTGCGCAAACGCGAACCTTAAAATCGCACAAATATTCGCAAAATGTTGAAAACACTTTAACTTTCCCGCCCCCCAAATTTTAAATCTTGCGAATCGCCAAAATCTTAAAATTTCTGACAGCGCCGCCATGATCAGTAAAATTGGACCAATGAGAGCAGTTTCGCAAAATCGCAATTCGCGATTCGCGTCTATATGAAACAAGCTTTAGCCCAGCGGTACACTGTGCGTTTTTGCGACTGTCGCAGGTGCTCTGTGTAGTTTATTTATGGTCGATGCCGGTGCCGCGCGTTTCTGCGGCAACCACAAAAACGCGCAGTGTATAACCGAGACTAGTCGCACCAGTAAAAAAGTATGTATTATAATTTTTTCTGATAGAATCTACAAATTTTGCGTCACTGATAATTTTTACCATATCGAAATCTAACATTTCTCTAAACAAATTGAATTATTACAAAATCTATTAATTTTAATATATAATATCATATCGAGGGTCACAAGCTCGGTAACAAGGCATGGATCTCGTATGATTTTTTAATAAAATTATATTATTTTTTAAAACAATTTTTGCGATATTTTCACAAAAATAATTCAAAATATTTCATTTGATAATGAAGTATTGATATCTCGGCTCTATAAGATAATTCGTTTAAAAAAATTATAATAATTTAATATAAAATTGGGTATGTTTAAAAAGTGATACGAGTTACTCCACTGTGACCTTCGATATGCAAAAAAGTTACCGAATTGTACGTAGAATCTAATTCTAAAATAAAAATAGGGTATTCTCATTAAAAATATATGTTATATCCGAACGACAATCAACAATCACAAATCCAAACATTTTTTGAAGTACCCTGTATACTCTACAGTAATTTTAAAATATGCTTCTTAACCTTCCCTATAACTTTTCTGTTTAACATTTTGTTCCAAAAAGCGTTAAAAAAACAAAACCAAAACATTTTTGATATACCTTGAAGTCGCTTTTCATTATCTATTATACTGCAGTTATTATGAATTAATTTAACATAATTAACCATAAAACAAAAATCTATCTGAATGTATGTGAAATTTTCGAGAAAATTTTCTTTTACCCGATCATCACATGAGTCATTTTATATATATTTTGTTAAACAAGAATTATGCTGCAAGCTTTTTTATTACATTATATATATATATATATATATATATATATATATATATATATATATATATATATATATATATATATATATATACTATATATATATATATATATATATATATATATATATATATATATATATATATATATATATATATATATATATATATATATATATATATATATTTGCTTCAAAATTGACAAGTTTTTTTGGTACTACTGATACTATTGAAAAACAATATTTTTTTTCTTTATTACATAGCGCACAATTGTTTACTTTTTTTGGCTAATTATTAGTACTACAAAAAAATTGAATTTACTACAATCAATTGCATCGTTTGTAGTTTGTATATAACTAAAGACATTATGTCAAACAATGTTAATTTCCAAATTTTACTATAATTCTCTACTTCCAAGAAACTTTCGTTGAGTTTTTTTGCTACTACATAAAACTACAAACAATTTTGAAGATTTTTAGACATTTGTTAAAACAATATTTTTATTCTTTATTACGTTGCGCACAATTGTTTACTTCTTCTGGCTAATTATTAGTACTACAAAAAAATCGAATTTACTACAATCAATTGCATCGTTTGTAGTTTGTATACAACTAAAGACATTATGTCAAACTATGTTAATTTCCAAATTTTACTATAATTCTCTAATTCCAAGAAACTTTTGTTGAGTTTTTTGCTACTACATAAAACTACAAACGATTTTGAAGATTTTTAGACATTTGTTGAAACAATATTTTTATTCTTTATTACATTGCGCACAATTGTTTACTTTTTCTGGCTAATTATTAGTACTACAAAAAATTGAATTTACTACAATCAATTGCATCGTTTGAAATTTGGGTACAACTAAAGACATTATGTCAAACTATGTTAATTTTCATATTTTACTATAATTCACTAATTCCAAGGATCTTTTATTGAATTTTTTTGCTACTACATAAAACTACAAACGATTTTGAAGATTTTTAGACATTTGTTGAAACAATATTTTTATTCTTTATTACATTGCGCACAATTGTTTACTTTTTCTGGCTAATTATTAGTACTACAAAAAATTGAATTTACTACAATCAATTGCATCGTTTGTAATTTGGGTACAACTAAAGACATTATGTCAAACTATGTTAATTTTCATATTTTACTATAATTCACTAATTCCAAGGATCTTTTATTGAATTTTTTTGCTACTACATAAAACTACAAACGATTTTAAAGGTTTTTAGACCTTTGTTAAAACAATATTTTTTTTCTTTATTACATTGCGCACAATTGTTTACTTTTTTTGGCTAATTATTAGTACTACAAAAAAGTTGAATTTACTACAATCAATTGCATCGTTTGTAGTTTGTATACAACTAAAGACATTATGCCAAACTATGTTAATTTCCAAATTTTACTATAATTCTCTAATTTCAAGAGACTTTCGTTGAGTTTTTTTGCTACTACATAAAACTACAAACGATTTTGAAGATTTTTAGACATTTGTTAAAACAATATTTTTATTCTTTATTACATTGCGCACAATTGTTTACTTTTTCTGGCTAATTATTAGTACTACAAAAAAATTGAATTTACTACAATCAATTGCATCGTTTGTAGTTTGTATACAACTAAAGACATTATGTCAAACTATGTTAATTTCCCAATTTTACTATAATTCTCTAATTTCAAGAAACTTTTGTTGAGTTTTTTTGCTACTACATAAAACTACAAACGATTTTGAAGGTTTTTAGACCTTTGTTAAAACAATATTTTTTTTCTTTATTACATTGCGCACAATTGTTTACTTTTTCTGGCTAATTATTAGTACTACAAAAAAATTGAATTTACCACAATCAATTGCATCGTTTGTAGTTGATAATAAGCCAAAAATCGAAAAGTTTACTATAAAGCGGGTTCCAACGTGACAGAGCTCGTAATTGGCTCTTTTATAGAAAAGCCATGTATCTACAAGTCATCGTAAAATAATTCAAAGACTACTTCTTCGTTTTTCTTGATAGAATAATAAACACATATTTAATAAATATTATTTATTAAACTATTGTAGGTAAATTAAATAAAAGTAAACTGGTATAAATTTAAATAAGTCCATAAACTAATTTAGATCTTGAAAATGGCTACTAACTGTCACTAGAAACTTGCCATGACAAGACTAGCCATCTTGATTACAATTTTATTGAAAAATCGCTTTTTATTCAAAATCTGAGCTTAAAAAAATACATAGTGTTGCATTTGTAATAACGAAGTTTTTATGTAAACTAAATATTTAAAATAGACCAGCAATTTTTGATACCCCTGTATACATTTAAGGAAGGAATAACATTTTTCTGTAAAGTTTCTGTTAAACTCAGTACAAGAACTGATTCTGAAAAGTAATGTACAGGGTGTTAATAATATATTCTATTGTAGCATGCAAATTTAAATATCTTTCAATATCTCAAAAACCAAAGATTTTAAACATATTTAACACTTATAATAAATACCTTTTTTTGGGCCCAAGAATCCAAAAATAAAATAAAATACCGGGTGTTCCATAAGAAAAAATATAACTTTGGTATGGATCTTAGTTCTGAAACACCCTGTATATTTCAAAATAATTTTAAATTGTGCACATTACCTCCCCACTTATACCCATAAAATATTTTGTTTCTACATCTTTCCGTTTTCGTATAATCAACCGAGGCGCGCCACCCTGTATAACATTATATGTAAAAAAGTTATAGAATTTTACGCAGAATCTAAAAATAGAACAAAAAATGAGTGTTGCATTTAAAAAAAAACATACGTTTTATCCGCCACACTTTTTTGAAGCGCACTGTATATTTAATAATTTTGAAATGTGTACTTAATCTTTCCCTAGAACTTTTATACTTAAGATTTTTTTGTAAACCTAGAAACAAATGAGATAATGGACACTCTATCGTTGACTCACTCGGTATGTACAGGGTGTTCCATTTTGGTTGAAATCATACGGTATCTCTGTTATTAGTGAAGACAGAAGGATGAGGTTTGCACAAACCTGTCCCACTTCTCTGTCAAACGAAAGATGCTGCAAACAAAATTTTCATAGCCCTCTTCGTTTCTGAGCTACGGGGTCTTTTTAAAAATCTTGCAATTTGGGACACGCGAAAGGTATCGAGAAGGTGAAAACTGTTCGTTGTAGAACTTTTTACGTAGAATACAGTGGCGTAGTCTAAGTAAAGTTATGTTTTCTGAAATGGAACACAGCTTCTCAAAATTACTTCGCGAGTTGATTAAGTGAAATATTAGTGTTTTAGATCATTTATTTGAATATATCCTTGTCTCATCATTAAAAATATGTAATCCAAGATTAACTACATAAACTAGTAGGCTGTATCAAAATGAAGTTTAAATGAACTAAGAGGGTCTTTTTGTTTCCTGTCTTCCTAAGATCATTTTTAAGAGACGCTTTGAAAGGGAGTCTTCAAGGCAATAAATCATCCCATGTGATAAATTGATACAAATCGCTTTGCCCTAACATTGTTTTCTATAACACGAGAAGTATTTTCAATTCTTTTTAGTCGCAGAGGTAAGTGACATTTAGGGAGTGGTGACTTTTTCAATAAATCTACAGTGTTTATATTCTTTGCTAATTTTTATTATGAAAAAAATATGTAGGTATCTATATCTATGATGAACATAACTTCCTTAACTGGATTTAATTTTAATTTTTGACGGTTTTCTTAGTGTCAGCTTGCTCAAAACGGAAACTAGGTAAAATAAGGCGTAAGTCGTTGCCAAGATAATGGCAATAACATCTAAAAAGTAATATTGATACCAGTGCAAGTCTTTAGCTGCACTTTGCAGTTTGACTGCTCCTTTATGTCTAATTACGTATTCCACCCAGTATATTGACATGTCTAAGGGGCTGGCGATCCTATCTTTAAATAGTTCTGATGTTTCTTTCGCTATTTCTGTATACCTGAAATATAGAAAATTCATTGAAGGAGAACTTTCTAAAACATAAAATAGTTTTTCATTGTCTTTTTAAACGGAACCGCTAAAAATTCTAAAACGCTTTAAATACAAAAAATGTTCTCCATCTATTGCGAAAATAATATACAGGGGGTTCCATTTAGAAAAACGAAGAAAAAATAGTTTATATTTTAGAAAGTTTGGCATAGAATTTTGAACACCCTGTATGGTTTAAGATTACGATATTTATAGCACTGTAAGTACAGACCAACTATAGTAAATACCTAGCACAGTTTTTATTTCAGACATTAAAATTTATGGTATTTTTAATATTTTTTTTTAAAAAAGGCTGAATTTTTTTTTATTTATTTATTAATATGTATTTTTGAAACTATCATAACATATTTAATAATATCTTAAGATTATATGTAAACTGATCAGAAATGAAGCCAAAAATGGAATAATATACAGGGTGTTCCATTTAAAAAAATCATCCCGATCCGTCCACACTTTTTTGAGCCACCCTGTAGAAGTTAAAATGTTTTCCTGAAATACACGCAAACACATACTTTAGGTTTGTACTTATCCAAAATTTCTAATTTTTTTATTATAAAAGCTACAGATGCTCATTTTTGCCGGACCCATATAAAGTAGTAGAAAAAATTTTGAAATGTGACAACCCCTATTTGTGGCGATTTTTTGATTGTCACCCTGTTAAAAGTGTATTCCCCTATTCATTCAAATTCATAAATATACGCAAAAACTAGGATTTCATTAAAACATTTTCGTATATCAGTTTCATAAATGAGCCCAAGGCGCCAAATTTAAATCACTTATAAAATGTTTTAAATAAAAAATACCAACCTTGGATTAAAAAGGATTTTCCGAAGAGCCGCTGAAAAAGTTTTCTTGCTTATATCTTTCAAGTCAATTCTTATTCCATATCCAGCTGTTTCAGCTCTCTTAATATTCAACGACTGGTCTGCAAATAATGGTATTCCGAGTATAGGAACACCACAGTATACCCCTTCTTGCGTTCCCATCATGCCTCCGTGTGATACAAACAGTTTCACTCTTGGATCGCCTATATACAAAGTTGAAGTTGAGGAAATTTTAAAATTATAGGGTAAAATACGTCGTACACAAAATATCAAGTTGGGGTATCCATGGTTCAAAATGAATATTAGAAGGAAATGTAAGTCCTTTCGGAAATTTCTCTCTGGTACCTTTCCATAATACTTTATACGGTACTTCCGCCAGAGCATCAAATATTGCTTGTAAAATGTGTGGAGGATATGTTTCAGTCAATACCAGTGAACCCATGGAAAAGTATATAACTCCTTTTGTGTCTGTTTCTAGAATTTTTGAGAAATGCTGGAAATATGAAAGAAGGGTTTAGTTTTAGGTTTAGGTACTAGATATATTTTCAACTGCGTTACTTCATCGAGAGGTTTGACGTCTTCGATATGTAATCCTGCAACTTCAACAACATTTGGAACCAGGGGTCTTGAGTTGCTTATACTGAAATGCGTATTGACTAAATGCAGACTTGTATTGTAAGCTAGTAAATTTAAATCTGGCAATTCGTCTCCAAAAAATTCTCTAGCAATATTAGTTGATGGTATTGAACTATACAAATAAAAGCTGCAATAATAAAAATATTATCAATATACAGTGTGTATCCGGATTGTCTTTACAAGAGGAAAAACTTTTTTATTATTGACATTTTGAGAAAAATACATTCTTCATAAAAATTTTTGCTTGTTCTAAAATGGTTAATCCCTTTTATACTTTTCAAAATTCATACCGTTTTGGAGAAAATTAAAAAAAAATGAAAATATGATTGAATTTTTGAATGTAAAGCAGGAACATATTTTCATGTAACTTATTTCGGGTACCTATATTCAAAGGCGGTCTAATTGATGCATTTCCGCAGTGAAACTTTTACGATTTTGTATTTGAGGAGGTTTCTACAGGGTGTTTCAAAAACATTTATGCGCCATCTTTCGTGGGGAGCTTCCTCATTTAAAAATAAATTTTATTTTTCATATCAACAGAAGTCCGATTCTGCTTGCTAGTCGTCTGCGATCATTCTGCGATCAGAAAAAAAGTTTTTTCTAGAAAAATATTCCGGTGATAACCCATATGCACGTCCCTTGTGAACATGTCGCCACTTTTTTAGGATTAAAATATGACGCACTTATAGTAACTTTTACCCTCAAAATTTAATTCGAATCGCTAGAAGCACTTGGAAGAAAATTATAATAAAACGAAAGATTATTAAGACTTTAACACCCTGTAGCTACGAAACAAAGCAGAATCGAACCTATGTATGTTGATATGAAAAATAAATCTGATTTTTTGGAGAGGAATCTTCCCATGAGAGATAGCGAGATGTTTTTTGAAACACCCTATATACCGGGTGCGTCTAGAAAGTGGCTCAAAAACGAGATTTGGTATGTTAGTATATGACATAAATTAGGATTGATTGACGTATTCAATTGTTTTCGGTCACTTCCTGATTCACTGGAAATTATTACAACTTTTGATTTTTAAATGACACCCTCGATATTTATTTTACTTTATTCGATAGAAAATAACACTCTGAATAGATTGACATATCATAGTCAACTTGATATTTTCGAATATGGTTTATTTGAAATTGCAACATGCGATTCATAACGACAATTTGACTCAAAATACCAACTATGTGGTATCAAATTATTCGTAAAAAAATGCTTTTTCCAAATATAATAATGGTCTACCCTCAGGGGTGGTTGGGGAAGTGGAAACCGGCACGGGAATAACAGCAACCGGCCCAAATCCACAAAAACAAAATGACCATAACAAAGAAACGTATTATATTAACATATTGTCAAGGTGTATTACTGGTTGCATAACTGCATACTGCTAAAAAATCGCAATGTGGAAGGAACCTGGCGCATTCGCCAGAAAGTAAAGAAAATTATAGAATTCTTTAGAAAAATCTAGAAACAACCGCCAGGGGGTATATAAGGCCCGCGCTTTGACAGTTGGACAAGTTTAAAAGTTTGAAGTTTGAAGTCTAAAGTCTGAAGTTTGAAAATACCGCGAAATACCGTTAGAGTAATAGTAGTTGCATAAGTTGTGTTGTAAATAGTATAAGTTGTGTGTACAGAGTGAAACAAATAAATTGTTAAGTATTTTATCGTGAGTTTAAATAGTGGACCCACGGAATCCGTAACAATTGGTGTCGGAAGTGCGATTCAAGAGGATTTTAAGAAGAAATTAAGTGGATTGGAAGATTTTTAGACCGAATTAGAGTATTTTTATGGTTGGTACAAGGGAGCAGGCGAAGAAAATGGAGGAAGTAAGCAAATTATTGGGCGATTTTATGGAGAATATGAGAAGAGAAAAGGCAGAAGAACAAGAGAGGCTGCGAAAAGAAAAAGCAGAAGATCAAGAAAGACTCCGTAAAGAACGAGAAGAAGAGCGAGCCCGATTAGAAAGAGAAAAGGAAGAGGAAAAATTACGACGTCAACAAGAACAGGACCGGCTTGAGAACATTTTCGAAGATTTAAAAATTCAACGACAACAAGATAAACAAGAAGAACAGGACCGGCTTGAGAAAATGTTGGATAATTTGGAAATTCGTTTGGAGGAGCGACGTCAGAGAGAAAAGCAAGAAGAACAGGACCGGCTTCAGAAAATTTTAGAAAATCAGGAAATTCGACTTCACAAAAACTTCGAGGATATGAAAAAGGAGCAACAAGTAATGTTGGAAGTACGTTGCCAGGAACAGCAAAATCACCTTCAAGAAGCCGTAGAAGATCTGGAGGAGCGCCTTCAGCAGAAAATGGAAAAATTAGAGATGGACCTACAGAAGACCAAGGTACAAGTAAGGACACCTGGCGTTTCTGGAACTGCGAACCTCAAGGCACCGACCTACGATGGACAAACCACCTGGACGATGTACCACCGCCAGTTTGAAGCAGCGGCTGCTGCCAATGGATGGACTGACCAAGAGAAAGCAGCAGCACTTGTCATCGCGCTGCGAGGCCCTGCCCTGAACTGTTGCAAACTATTCCTGCAGCCCAACAGCAGGAATACCAAACTTTGGTCGCTGCACTGGACAGAAGATATGGCGACCAACATCGACGCCAACTTTACCAGGCCCAGATCAAGACACGCCTGCAGAGGTCCGGAGAGAGTCTGCAGGAATTTGAAGCAGACTTACGTCGGCTGGTACACCTAGCGTATCCTGAAGCACCGGAAGGATTTAGGGAGGAACTCGCTGCTCAGTGCTTTATCAGCGGACTGAGGGACAACGAATTACAGAGGGCGCTGCAAATATCCCGATTTTCTACCAGCAGCGAAGCACTGGTCAGGGCGCTGGAAATTGAAGCTGCCTTTAGCGCCATCCCTAGACCAAAGATAAGATCGGTAACGGTAGAGGAACAGCCCGAGAGTACCCACAGAAGTTTGGAGGAGATGTGTAGAAAATTCGACAAACTATGTGAGCTACTAATAAACAAGGGAGTCAACAATAACCAGACAGAGAACCAGAGAAGATCCCAGGACATAAGGTGCTATAGATGTGGCAGGAATGGCCACATCAAACGGGATTGTCGCGTTCAAATGCGATCCTGTTCACCATCCAGAGAACGTAGTCACCAGGAAAACTAAAATCAGTCAATACTAAGGGGCAAGTATTGACTGGGGAGAACAGAGCCCCCAGGATTTTTTCCATTAGGAGTCTAGGAAGAACCGCTGACAGTTTGGTGATCGACGGGAAAGTCAATGGAAAGGGAATTCGAATGACTGTGGACACTGGCGCTATGGTATCGTTGGTGCGGGCTAACTCAGTGCAAGGAGTGAAGCTGATGCCTCTGAGAAGAAGAGTGTGTTTACGTACAGTTACGGGGGAAATGGCCGTTGTACGGGGAGAGGCTATCGTCGAACTGAAGTTAGGAAATTTGAAGTTCCAGCATAGCGTTTTAGTGGCAGATATTGAAGATGACTTCATCTTGGGCATGGATGTGATTCGTCAACATGGATTTTCGTTCGATCACCAGAGAAATATCCTGAATATCGGAAATGAAGAGTTTATGTTATCTCCAGACGAGGGACCAGGAAGAATGGATGTAAGATCAGCGGAAACTGTGGTGATACCTGGTAATACCGAGAAGATCGTATTCGGTAAAGTGGAGAAAATCGCTGGGTGCTGTGTTGGACTGGTACAAAGTGGCGACAAGAAACAAGATAGGTACTTAGTAGGAAAATCATTGGTGAACACCGACAAGAATATACCGAACACCGACAAGAATATACCGATCAGAATTGCGAATGTTTTCCCGAATTGTGTCAAGATCCAAAAAGGTGACAAGATAGCCATCTGCGAACCTGTAAGAAGTGTCACCCGATGTGATGAAGTGTCGTCAGCTGTTACACAAAAAGGCATCCCAAGAAACACTAAAACATCTAGAACAGCCATGGGATCACCTAACACCTGAGGAGAAACAGAAGGCCAAGCAGTTCCTGCTAAAGCATGGCAGTATTTTTTGAGAAGAACAACAGTGGAAAACGGATTTTGTGAAGCACCGGATTAATACTGGTCATGCTCAGCCGATTCGACAACGTCCTAGAAGGGTGCCCCTTTCCAAACAACAAGAAATGGAGACAATGGTAGATAAGATGCTAGAAGATGGAGTTATCGAAGAATCATCGAGTCCATGGTCATCTCCTGTTGTTTTGGTGACGAAGAAAGATGGTAGTACACGATTCTGCGTGGACTATCGGAAGCTCAATGACGTCACTAAGAAGGACAGCTACCCACTGCCACGTATAGACGACACGTTAACCACACTGGCAGGTTCGTGCTGGTTCTCCACTCTCGACTTAAAGAGTGGATACTGGCAAGTTGGTCTGGACGAGGAAGACAAAGAAAAGACGGCTTTTTCTACAGGAAACGGACTATACCAATTCAAGGTCATGCCGTTTGGATTATGCAATGCTCCAGCCACTTTCGAACGTCTCATGGAGGTGGTGTTAAGAGGATTAACTTGGAAAACGTGCTTGGTTTACCTCGACGATGTATTGGTTATGGGAAGAACTTTTGAGGAGCATTTGCGAAATTTAGAAGAAGTCTTCGGACGCATACGGAATGCTCACCTGTACTTGAACCCGAAGAAGTGTAGCTTATTCCAGCGACAAGTGGAATTCTCGATCAGAAGAAAATCGCTGCAATTAAGGATTGGCCTAAACCTCGCGACAAACATGAACTTAGAAGTTTCCTGGGTTTATGCACTTATTACAGAAGATTTGTCAAGGGATTTGCCAATATAGCTGCACCCTTACATAGGCTTACAGGTGATGAAGTCGGCTACGAATGGAACACCGATTGTGATGTAGCCTTTGGAAGACTTAAGGCGGCTTTATGTTCAAGTCCTATTCTAGCCTACCCGCAACAACAAGGGAGGTATATCCTGGATACCGACGCCAGCAATATCGGCATAGGTGCAGTGCTATCACAAGTGCAAGATGGCGAAGAACGAGTGATAGAATATTACAGTCGAGTTCTATCCAAACCAGAAAGGAATTACTGCGTTACCCGGAAGGAGCTGCTAGCAATTGTGAAGGCAGTTGATCATTTTCATAAATATCTGTACGGCCAAGAATTTTTAATTAGGACAGATCATGCGGCTCTCAAATGGCTTATGGAGATGAAACAACCTGAAGGCCAAATAGCACGATGGCTCGAGAAGCTCCAGCAGTATCACTTTACCATCCAACATCGTGCTGGGAAGATGCATGGTAACGCAGACGGTTTATCCAGAAGACCCTGTCAAACCGATTGTAAGCACTGCTGTAAAACGGAACAACGTGAAGGCACTGTCATGATAAGGAGTTTTAAGCTTGGAGCTGATGAACAGTGGACGACGGCACAGTTGAGGAAAGACCAAATGGAAGATCCAGACATCGGAGCAATACTAGGGCTCAAGGAAGGTAACGGCGAGAGACCACCGTGGCAGGATATTGCGGACAGAGGGCTAGTTTTCAAAGCTCTCTGGGCTCAGTGGAATTCACTGGTTATTGAGAATGGATTGTTAAAGCGCATGTGGGAAAGTGCGGATGGCAGGACAGTAACAACTCAGTTACTGGTACCAAGGAAGAAAGTTACCCAGGTATTGGAAGAAATTCACGGTGGTAAAACTGGAGCCCATCTTGGGGTAAACAAGACCTTGAGCAAGCTGAGAGATCGTTTTTACTGGGTGGATTATTGCGAAGATGTCAAGAAATGGTGTCGACAATGTAAAACTTGTGCAGCCAGCCAAGGACCAAGCACTCGATCTAGGGGAAAATAAACAATATAACGTTGGACTGCCATTCGAAAGAATCGCTGTTGACATTGCAGGCCCATTCCCTGAAACGCACAAGGGCAACAAGTACGTTTTAGTGGCGATGGATTATTTCAGTAAATGGCCAGAAGTTTTTGCCATTCCAAACCAAGAAGCATCGACTGTAGCTGAAGTATTAGTCAATAATGTCTTCAGTAGATTTGGAATTCCTTTAGAGCTTCACACTGACCAAGGAAGGAACTTCGAGTCAAGACTGTTCCAGAAGATGTGTGATCTGCTTGGTATTCACAAGACTAGGACAACAGCTTTACATCCGCAGTCTGATGGGATGGTCGAGAGATTCAATAAGACCATTGAAGAACATCTCTCGAAAATGGTGGATGAACATCAAAGAGATTGGGATCAGCATATACCACTATTCCTAATGGCATATAGAAGTGCAGTTCACAACACCACCGGACTTTCACCATCGAAGATTTTATTTGGTCGAGAATTACGGTTGCCTTGTGACTTGGTGTTCGGATCACCAGACGACAGCACCACGAACGTAGAGGACTACGCGGATGAACTGAAGGAAAGGTTATTGGGAATTCATAAGGCCGTGAGAAGTAAGATTACGCTAGCCAGTGACCGGATGAAAGCTCGTTACGACCTCAGAGCTAATTCTACGGGATTTCAACAGGACGATATGGTATGGTTATATAACCCACAGCGCAAGAAAGGGAGGTCCCCAAAGTTAACTCCAGCATGGGAAGGTCCTTATACAGTCATCAAGAGGATAAATGATGTTGTGTACCGGATTCAACGCAGCCCTAGAAGTAAGATGAAAGTAGTTCATCTGGATCGATTGAAGAGATACCAGACAGGAAACCTTGATCGGGACGATCAAATTTGAGAAGGGGGCAATGTCAAGGTGTATTACTGGTTGCATAACTGCATACTGCTAAAAAATCGCAATGTGGAAGGAACCTGGCGCATTCGCCAGAAAGTAAAGAAAATTATAGAATTCTTTAGAAAAATCTAGAAACAACCGCCAGGGGGTATATAAGGCCCGCGCTTTGACAGTTGGACAAGTTTAAAAGTTTGAAGTTTGAAGTCTAAAGTCTGAAGTTTGAAAATACCGCGAAATACCGTTAGAGTAATAGTAGTTGCATAAGTTGTGTTGTAAATAGTATAAGTTGTGTGTACAGAGTGAAACAAATAAATTCGTTAAGTATTTTATCGTGAGTTTAAATAGTGGACCCACGGAATCCGTAACAATATATAATTATTAATATATAAGTAAGGGTGTTTTTCGCTCGTGCGAAAAAAGCTCCTTTGCCTCCGGTTTTTTAAAAAAATTGAAATTGTCTTGATCAAATTTTCACAAAGATCTGTTTTACAGGGTTCTACTGGTTTATTTCTCAAGCTCAGTTTTACAGGGTTCTACTGCTTTATTTCCATTATGGATAACGGTAATTTGATCTTGAATAGGCTACGATTATGAGAAACTTTAAGACTTCCTGATTCATTCAGTTCAGCTGACCCAATCCTCTGTGAAATACATTGTTTTTAGCTTTTCAGGTATATACTTTCTTACACATTGTAGAAAAAAGTTCTCTCTTTTCTGGTACAGCAGCCTCGCCATGTATACGTTCTTTTCTGAATGAACCGGCGGTCGCCATTAAAACTGTTGCATTTTTTAGGTTATTATATTAGTTCTTATCACTTTTCCTTTATATACTTTTCTGCATTTGGCATCTTGTATGCCATGACTCAAACGAAAAAAACCTAGACCTGGGCAGTGGACATAAATGTGTTCTGTGTTCTGAGGTAATGCTATCTTACAGTCCATAATAAGAATATTTGGATTTTCCAGACATATTAATATTTTATTATCTAATCTAGTTTAAACCTTATTTAACTCTTCTCTGCTGTCTCAGTAATTTTTAGTAAATTAATTTTAGCAACATTTTAAACAACAATTTAGACTTGGCTTAGAGTTCTCAAGCATAGAGATAGCCATCACATGTTTTACTCTGTCAACCGCAGAGTTCGCGTCATATTTGTCAATCTTTTTACAACGTGGAGCTCGAAAAATATTGCACCGAGGCCTCCAGTTGTCAATCTACGCTACCGTATTCTTAGTATACACTTAGATCGAGACTATTTAAATTGACCTAATGCTATTCATTCTTTTTTCTGCTGTCAGTCAGTCATATTTATTATTTATTAATAAAAGAATAGTGGTAAAACTATACAGGGTGAGTCTTAAATAAATGCAAATATTTTGAATAGTGATATATTTCGACCCCAAGAACACATTTATGAGGTTTCTTTTGCAAAAAAGATGTTAAAAATCGTGCATTTTCTTTGAAATTTTCCTGTATATTTTAGAAAACTTTATCGAACTTCCTGCTAACCGCAAATTTTCCCACGGTATACACACGGTTTCTTAATCTCTGATATTACGGCACGAAAAGAGATGCAAATACCGAAAAATTGAGGTGGCTTAAATTGTTTTAAAAATAAATCTTTTTTTTTAATTTTCAAACTTTAAAACTCGGTTGGACTTATTTGAAACACGGTAAAGAGAATATATTATGTTTCTTTTATTGAGACCTACCAGGCCTGAAAATATTTGCACTTATAAAGTCACCTTGTATAACAAAAAATTTCAAACCGAACAAACAACAGATGTTTATTAAAATTATAAGTGTCTCAGAGACATCTTACAATAGTTATTTTACAAATTGGTGTTTATGTTTAAAAGCAACTGACGATTATACTGATGCAAATTGATTTGTTTTTGTTTAATTACCAGAATTATTTAATACTTTACTATCAGAATATAAACGAAAATAAAATAAGAAAGTCTTTGACCTGACCCGGATTCGAACCCTGAATCATCGGTTCGTGGTCGGAAACTCTACGCACTGCGTTATGGAGACATGTTCGATTTATATTCAATACTAGAATTTAAAGGACTAATAAAAATATAGGATCCTCTTTCAATGCGCAGTAGGGAACGCAGCCAGAAGGGCCGCATGCTGTTCCAGAGAGTATAGTAAAAGATATATCAAAGAGCCAGACGTCTTAAAAGACTTGTTTTTCCGACGTTGCTAGCTCTCGTACTATTATCAATATTAGTCATCTTTATTTCTATATTAATTATAATGACTTGGCAATTGTACGATATGATATACTATAGTAATTAAAAAACTTTATTCTTTAGTGCACCGTTTATTAGATTTACTTAGTAATCCAAATAGCAGATTATTTTTTTTATAATTATATATCAAAGAGCCAGACGTCTTAAAATACTTTCTCGAAAACGTTGCTAGCTCTTAGACTATAATGTCAGTGAGTCAATTAAAGAAATTTGACAAGCGATAATTCATAAACTATGAGGGATAATTATAAGGGTGGGCTATTTTTGAGACGCACCCGGTATACTGGATGATTTTTTTTATAACTGATTTCAGCTAAAAAAAGTTCACCCACTTTTTTTAATAATTTTTCTGCAAACTTACTACAATTTTCCTTTCAACAAAGTCCACGCATTAACAATTCTCTGATACAAATTCATCTTGGATCCGTACTCTACAAAGTACGTGGGAATATAGGATGGATTATCTGGCAGAGCGAACCTCTCAGATGCCCATGGGAAATTTTCGCTGCTAGTCATCACTATGGAAGGTGCTCCAAAGTGCCACGCCCAACCTAGCATACAGTCCGTACTAAAGTGTTCCGTCAGTACTACATCGTACTTCTTTTTGGATTTTTTCAGTTCCTGCAGCTCTTTCGTGGCAAAGTTCAACTTGCAAATGTCTGTGCCGGACATACGAAATATTATATCTAGTATTTCGTTGTACGAAAGGTCCTGTATCAAATCCAAGGTGAAATTGTTTGTAAATATTGGAGCGCTTCCTCTAATGCTTATATCGTTGTATCTATAAATTACAAATAATTAATCTGTGTGTGTTTATATCAGTGGCGGCTTAACCATAAGGTCAAATGGTCAATGCCCCCCAAAAAATCAGTAGAAAATTAGGAAAAACCTATTTAAATTATACTTTTTATAAATAACTCCCCCCTCCCCCATCCTAAGATATTTTAAACTATTCACCAAAACCATCAATTTGTCAAATTTCCACTTGAAAACGTTTTATTTTTCCCCTTTTCTCTACTGCCGGTCAAAATTTCATTTTGTCCTTCGTTCCCGCTAAGCATTGCACTTTACTCCAAACGCCGCGGCTCGTAATGGTGCGTTTAGACTTGAGCAAGCACGAGCTGAGCGTGCGCGCACGGCATTCGTTCGCGCTCTCGGCTCCGTTCAAATTGAAAACTGTTGAAAACTTATTTTTCGACGAATGAAGTGATCCATTTGTGCGCGCACAGCAGAGTTGTGTTGGCGAAAATAATGGACGACCAAGAAATAGTCGAGGCTGCAGTCATTGTTATGCACAGCTTAATTATTAAAAAGGAGAAAAATCGAAAACATCGTCGCTGAAGAGAAATCGATATAATTTACTGCAACAACTTCGTGTCTGAGGAGGGCTATGATCAGTTCAAAAACTTTACAAGAATGACCAGACCCGACTTTGAATATTTACAAAATTTAATAACACCAAAAATTGCGAACAAAAGATACAAATTTTAGAATACCAATTTCATTAATATCGACATATTCAATATTAATTTTATTTACAAGATCTTGCCATGCGTTTTTTTTTATTTTTTAATAATACAAAGAATGTTTTACATCCCATAATATAGGCAACTTTTCATATTCTTCAATTAATAATAACGAAGATTCATTGATTCACTCCATAATTTTAATAGAGAAGACGAAAGAAAATCACACGCCCGCACAGTGCTTCGAACATATGGCTCTAGAGGACAAAAATCCAAAACTTCTCTTTTATTGTAAGCAATTTATTCAAACTAGGTTTATTTGACACAAATAATGAGTACTCTCATTGTACTAAATGATGATGTTCTTAGTCCCACGTTTATGAAAAAAAATCTTATAAATAATAATAATGTTGGAGCTGTGTTCCATCTAAGCAAATAATAAGTTATAGTATGAAAACGGTGTAAGTATTAAATAAATTCCTGTGATAAAAAATAATTGAAATAACATTAGAACATGATTCCTACAATATAAGCCTAATATAAGATAAAAATGTTTTTCTTTAATGAAAAAGAAACATTAATGTTATATTTAATTAAAAAAAACTTAAGATACTATAAATTTACTTTAGGACAACAAAATGCATAGATCGTAACTACTCTGATTCAGGAGAATCACTGCTGACAGAATTTTCCAAATTTATAGTATCCAAATCACAGGTAGATGAAGTATCCTCACATATAAGTTATTTCTGTACATCATTTTCTAATATGTTACTTTTTCGCGTTGTTACTGTTCATTTTGTCGGTATGAGGGGTTCGGATGTTAATAGTTACCTCTTTAATAGACCATATCCATATATTATTTTCCTTTTCTTGGGTATGAGATTTTATAATAAATTGAAAGGTGGACACTTTTTTATGCGACGTTTCGCTCCAACATAGTGGACTTTTCAGTCACAAGTGGTGTCTCATTTGACTGGAAGGTTCATCAATATCTATTAAGAACATATTTTTTGAAATACAAATAATTTTGAGTTCTTGTCCTTATGATCAAGCCAAGTATTAGCCAGATCGGCATTGCTTATCAATTTTACTCCATCTGAAAAAGTATTATAAAATAAAGTTCGTCGCAAGCAGACGCAGGTGAACTATACAAAATTAAAAAGTGTATGAATATGGCAACAAAAATATTCAATAAACACGATATGTTTTGATATGTTTTTTTTAAATACCTTTTTGAAGTTTGAAAACTTAAAATTTTTATACCCATTTAAGAATCATCTTAAAAAATAAATAAAAACTAAACAATCACGAACTTGTTTAGAAATAAATTTAAAGTACATACCTTGTTTAACAATATCCATAGTGGCTTTCAATTAAGTATGTACCCGTTTAACTCCATAATATACAGAACTACTATGAGTGTTATTCTTTTCACTGATGAGATAATGATCGCAAAATTTATTTTTAGTGAAAATATTTGCTAACAAAAACGCTGTTTATGAAAAATAATATACAGGATGGTTGAACATTGCTATAAGTATAAAATTATATATTTAGATATTAGTAAATTTTAACTTATTTTTTGATTTTTGTCCATGGGACGAAGCACTGTGGCCCGCACGAACGCAGACAAAACAAATTGCCGGTGCAAACTGAGCGTTCGCGCACACATAAAATCCCTTTGAGCACGGACCAAAAACCGACACCAGACGGCTCACGTTCGCGGCTGCTCGCGCACAGACAGATTCAGAGTGATCGTGCGCGCACAGCCGTTTACACTTGAGCATTCGCGGAGAATCAGTGCGTGCGTGCTCAAGTCTAAACGCACCATAACGTCAACAAGGTAATGTATATTACGTATAGAAAATATAACGGGTTAAGGTGCGATAGATATAGTTTATATTGGCCATTGACCGCGTCATTCATAAAAGGATTTCAGTCGTTGGAAAAATTTCGCCGTTTGGGCAGTTTGGGTGTTTATAAAAACACAAATTATAAAACAACCTAGGTTTTTGTATCGTTTATCGCATATAATGTTTGGTTTAGTCAATATAAAGTAATATTTAAATTTTTAATATCGAAAGAAATCCCATCCAGTTTGAGGTGTAGCGCGCAATTTGTGTAGGTAATAATTCATAATATTCTGGTTATGGATAAATGATGAACTGTGGTTGACTGATTCTGGAATAGTTATTTTAAAATAGACAACATGGTGTTTAGTTTGTCAAATCGTACGGTTAAAAGAAAACAATTGCTTAAATTTCGAAAAACGTTTAGAGAAAGAACGCCGCATTGACTTAAAATATAAAAAAATGTGAAATTAAACTTTTAGAATTGTGTATGTGTTATGCATTTATATTTTTGTGACATTATTATTTACCTGTATTTTAAATCCTACAGTGGAAAATTTATGGAAAGAACATTGACTGGATTTTTAGTGAAATGACACTAGACCACCTGTTTAAAAATGTAAGGGTAATTTGTATTTATTTTCCTGTAATTAAACGTACAAGTACCTTGTAAGAAACCAATTAAATTTGGTCGCGTCTTAAAAAAAAATCGACGCAATATTTTTAGATATTGACCTCCCTACAATAATAACCACGAGCCGCCACTGGTGTTAACATTCAATACATCGAGATAAATTTCAAGATTAATTTTTCTGACTTCTAAATTTATTATATTATGTATTTCATAATAATATTCTAATCTGTGTTTAAAACTCTTCAAATACTCAATAAAATTAATTTTTCTAAAATATTTCAAATTCCACATTTAAAAACAACAAAATTATTAATGCAATCAGGCAACTATACAGGGTGAGTCAACGACAGATTAATTCAGTTCATTATTTTATTTGTTTTGAGAATTATCAAAAAATGTTAAATAGAAAAGTTATACGGAAGGCTAAGATACATACAAGGTGAGTCTTAAATAAGTGCAAATATTTACAGGGGTAGTATATTTTGACCTCAAAAACACCATTATGTGTTTTTTATCGCGATTTTTTTAATTTTTAGTTAAAAAACATAATTCCTTCATAATATCGTAACATAGGTAGTAGTTTAAATTTACGAAAGAAAACCCAGAGAAGATTCAGTGGTTCACAAAATTTAAGCGAAAAATCATATTTTTTTGAAATTTTCAAAGCATTTTTTGGTAAACTTCGTAACAAATGAGATATGAGATAATGGACTATACTCTATTGTTAAGTCACCTTGTACAGGGTGTCTTTTTTTATTGTGCTGTGGCGTTTTTTAAACAACTACCACTGCGAACGGCAGCTTTTCATCGGAGAGCAGTCGTGGATAAGGTATTTCACTGGAAAGAAAACTATATATTGGGCGCCAGGCATGTACAGAGAAAGAAAACACAGTTGTATAATACTTAAAACTAATGACTATATTTATTCATGATGAATTCTGATGGTAAATAGCATTGTACAATTTTAATAATTATTATAGTGGTTATTTGTTGAATAAAACTATGTATCTAAATAATATTAAATATGTTCTATGAAAAGACTATGAAAAAATACAATGCGTGTAACATTATAGAAAATATAAGAAAAGTAGCATTACTTTATTTAAATTGTTAAATTTTATGCGGTGTTAAATCTGATGTGTTGCAACCTGTAGATTCTAGAATCTATGTCTCGTTATTCATCTGTTAATATAGTGCAATAATAATATCTATAGAAAGTAATACTATTACAAGGCATAATATAATGAAACCTAAAATCTAAATCACATTGTAACTACTGAATCGACATAAATGTTCTTAATAATCTAACCACTAAATATAGTCTGTAAGATATTATTTAAAATTTTCGTTACTGTTTAAGACTGTAAATATAGAAAATCTAAAACATAAAAACTAGAACGTAAATCTACACTTAGCTGTTCTTTTATGTAACCTTGCTTCAAACAGTAGCAGCGTGAGGTGGTCTAGCATCTCTGTACTGTCTGTCGGCGATCCTGTTGGTCAAAACAACAAAAGGGGCCAGATTGAGGACACCATGAATCCTTACAGCCGTAGCTACTGACTAGGCTTAGAAATGGGAGTGAAGCAGCATGGGACTCAAGCTACATCCACGCTGTGGCACTTAGATGTAAGAAAAAATCGTTCTTACTGGGGACACTCGTCCACAGGACATCTGTACATAAGAGAATGTCTGTACATAAGGCACTACCCGTACCTTGGAAATAGTCCGTCCCTAGGAAATAGTCCGTACCTTGGACACAGTCCGTACCTTGGACACAGTCCGTACCTTGGACCCTAAAAATATGAAACTCTTGTTTAAAACCAAACA